TTCCCTATGTCAAATGACGTTGAGCATTTTTTTCCTGTGCTTATCTGCCATCCATATATCCACCTTGGTGAAGAGTTTGTCCAAGTCTTTTGCTCATTTTTAAAATGGGGTTATTTTTCTTATAATTGAGCTTTGAAAATTCTTTACATATCCTGATACAAGTATGTGATTTGTGAATATTTTATTTGTGGCTTATATTTTCATTTTCTTAATGGCGACTTGTGAAGAGCAAATGTTTTTAATTTTAATTAAGTCCAACTTATTTTTTTCTTTAATAGGTCATAATTTTAGTGTCATTTATTAAAGAAAACTTTGCCTAACTCAAGATCACAAAGATATTATTATCCTATGTTTTCTTCCTGAAGTGTTATAGTTTTAGCTCTTAAATTTATGTCTGTAATCGATTTCGAGTTAATTTTGTGTGTGGAGTGAAGAAGGCATGAGTAATTCTTGTGTGGGCATGAAGAACTCAACAGTTCTTTTTTTCTATATGGATATGCAATTATTCTAATACCATGTGTTAAAACCATAATTTTTCCCATTTAATTACCTCGGTAACTTTGTTTAAAGTCAATTAAACATAAATGAAAGGTGTAATTCCGGACCTTTATTCTGTTCCACTTCTCTATATTTCTATTTTTATGTCAGTACCACATGGTCATCATCATCATAGCTTTATAGTAAAATCTGAAGTCTGGTTGTGTAGGTCCACTAATTTTGTTCTTTTTAAAAATTGTTTTGGTTAGTTTGCTAGTCTAGGTCCTCTGAATTTCCATACACGTTTTAGGATCAGCTTGTCATTTCCATTAAAAAAAAAAAAAAAAAAACCCTGCTGGGGTTCAATAGGGATTGTGGTTAGTCTGCACATGGGTTTGGGTAAAACTCCTCTCAATATTTATTCAAATCTATGAATGTTGTATATCTTTCCACGTAATAGACTGTCTTCAACTTCTGTCAGTCAGTTTGTGGCTTTCAGTGTACAGATTTACACCAGTTTTGTTAAATTTACTTTTTGATAATATTGAGAATCAAATAGTTTTAAGAATATCCTCACATCTCCTGTTGCTAGTACATAAGAATGACTGCGTGCCGTGTCTTGATGCTGTATCCTGCATCCTTGCTAAGCTATCTTATTATTCAACTAGTTTTTAATACATGTTTTAGGATTATGTTGCCTGCAAATAAACACAGCTTCACTCTGTGTTCTGTATGCTTTCATTTTTCCTGCGTTATTGCATTGACTGGAACCTTAGTACAAATAATTTAGTGTCAAATAGAAGTGGTGGGAGCGGACATTCTTTCCAGTTCTCAGACTTAAGGGAAAGCATTTGGTCTTCCACTCTGAAGTATGATGTTACTTTTAAGTTTTTCATAGGATGTCTTCATTTTATTCCTAGGTTGTTGAGATTTTTTAAAAAATCATGAATGGGAGCTTGATATTATCAAATCTTTTTTCTATATTGATTGACATGATCATATCGTCACTGTCCTTTATTCTATTAATATGTAGTGTTATATTAATTGATTTTCAGATATTAAATCAACATTGTTTTCCTGGAATAATCTCACTCAGTCTAGTGTATAATCCTATATATATGTTGCTGGCTTTAGTTTGCTAATATGCTAATGATGTTTGCCTGTATTTCCTGAATGTTATTGGCTTATGGTTGTCTTCTACTGTGATGATATTGTCTGGCTTTGGTATCAGGTTAATACTGGTATCACTGAATCAGCTGGGAAGTGTTACTTCCTCCTCTGTTTTCTGAAAGAGTTTGTGTGCAATTGGTATTATTTTGTTCTTAAAATATTTGGTAGAATTCATCCATGGACTTATCTGTGCTTGGGATTTTCTTTATGCAAAGATTTTAGATTACTAGTTCAGTCTCTCTACTTGTTGTATGTCTATTCAGATTTTCTGTTTCTTCTTGAGTTGGTTACACAACTTGTGTCACTCAGTGGAAAGGTAACTGCCTTAGGTGAGAAATCATTTTTCAACCCTGAAGTATTTATAAGTTAGTATAGAAATATTTAAGAGACCCAATTCTTTAATACCACTATTTCACACTATAAAGTCACCTGTGTATATTGGGTATTTTATGTTTTTTTTTTTTTTTTTTTTTTTTTTTTTTTTGTCTTTTTCCGTGTCCGGCAACGGATCGCAACCCTCAGTGTCGCCCCCGTACCGGACCGGGACCGGCAACGGGATCGCAACCCTCGGTGTTGCTCCCACGCCTCGCTCAGCCAGTGAGCGGGAACCGGTCTGTATGTGGGATCCGAACCCTCGGGCGGGAGCGCCGCTGCACTTCCCAAGCGGCGCACTATCCAGTGCGCCACTGGGCCGGCCCAGATGTTTTTCATTACAGAATAGAAATTGTCTCACGGGGGTTGGGGTGGAGAAAGTTTGTGACCCTTGTGGTCTCCAGGCTCTGTCTACACTTAGGAGGTGAGCCTAGCCTCCTTATCTAGCCTGGGCCACAATGTAGGAAAATCCTCATCAGGATTAAATGTGATAAAGGATGACAAGTGTCTGGCAGAGTGGGCCACAAAGACAGAGCAGAACTGTATTCCAGAGCCAGGATGGTGACCAGGTGGCCGTGAGAGTGCTCCATCAACACTCTAGAGCATGTTCTCTGCTCCAGCTCATGGGGGGAGGGCCCGAGCACTTTCACCAGCTGGCTGTATGTCAACTCGCACAACTGTCACTTTCTATTGAAGCTGTCCTTCCTGTCACTCCCATGGCATCAGCAGCTACCCCGCACAAAGGGCTGGCAGGAGCTTGTGTTCCAAACGCCAATCCCACCACGGCCACCACTGTGCCCCTGAAGCAGAGCACGATTGTGGTCCTCCTGGGAGCTCTTCTGGCCACGGCTCCTTTAATGGGAGTTACCAGGTTCCCACGCTGCAGCAGGCCCAATGGTAGGAGATGGCTAGATGGAGGTCATGCCAGATTCCAGTTGGCCATGGACTTATGCTGTGACTTGATAAGTCACACCCAGTCCCCCTGAAGACCAGCCTCCCATGTCTCCAACACCGATTCTCACTCCAGGGTGAGCTTGGATGACTCAGGAGTGAACTCAGTGCACCTGGTGTGACCTCCGTAGATGGACTCTGCCTCCCCGCTGACCTGGGAGACTCTCAAGCAAACTGTTCCACTGAGACAACATAGGGTCGCTGAGACCCTGAGGAACACAGACTTCACTGGCCAGAATCCTGCTGACTCGAGCTGGCCACCATTGTGCACATGTGCATTTCCATACCAAAGACTCGCCATGCTCAGTAGCCATCCCTGACTGGAGCCGTGGCCCCATCCTTGTTGGATAAGTGACAGTTCCATCAAGAGCACTGAGCCGAGGGCTCTCCGTGCAGACACGGGCACCTGCAGACATCGGCTGCCCATCCTCTCTGCAGACGGCACTCGGGAATTGAAGGGCTCACTGCCTACCCTGGAAACTTCTCTTCTCCACTCAAGTGGCCTTCACCGTGACTCCAGGAAAACCAGGTGACTTCTTTGAACAAAGTTGTCTGGGGCAATGGGGTGCGCTGTGAGCAAAGGCAACTGATTCCGGGGTCTGGGGAGATCCATGTAAAACTCTTGATGTGGGGTGGCCACTGTAGCCACACTCATTTCTGGATGGAATTCTCCTCAGCGATGTAAATAACTGAACTAAATGTGTCCCTTTCACAACACCGTCCTGGAGTCCGTGAGGATTTGGATAGGAATTCAACATGACGTGAGCCAAACCTTCTCTGCTCAGGCCAGGGACCATGGTTGGTTGAAGTTAGGGTGACTATATCACTTATTATCCCACCCAAGACACTTTTGGGAGAGAAAGGGGCACTGCCAATCCCACCAGGACAGCAGGTGTCACCCCAATTGTGAAGACAGCAAGGACGGTCCCATGGCCCCTTGTTTGTAAGTCAGGGTGAGGGTCACTTTCAGTGGCTGAGTCTGGGATGGGGTGGGCTAGGGCATGATAGAGTTTCTACTAAATTGTCTCTAAATGTTCAGGGGAGGTGCAGTCAAGGAAAAAGACTTTGCTCCCAACAATGCGGTTCCTAAAGGTGCATGTTGACCCCTTTCCATCTCTTAATTACAAGGTGCTCTTTCTCTCTGAAGCCCCACAGGGACTGGGGTGAGAAGAAACTCCTTCTACAGAGAAAATAAAGTCACCTGTAACCTTCAGAAACCTGCATAGTCTCAAACCCTGCTTAAAAATAACCCACCAGAACCCATTGGCCTCTGACCCTGGCGCAGGTGCAGAAATGGGTAGGCCTAAAACCAATCAGCCCTGGTGGCCTGTCCTGTGGAGAACAGACATGGGAATGACAGACCACACACCACACACATGCACAGCCTTATACACATAGACACAAACACTACATATATACACATATACACATACATATACACACCTCATACACATGGACACACACACCACCTCACACACATAAACACACATGCATGCATGCAACCACACACACAAAGGCATAGGCACACACATGCATGCACATAGCCTCACATACAGAGACACAGCACATGCACACAGAGAAACAAACATGCACACAGCCTCATACGCAGAGACACACACCCCACACCCACAAAGACACACACATGCATGCACACAGCCTCACACGCAGAGACACACATGCATGCACAGTCTCACATGCAGAGACACATGTATAAACAAGCACCATACACAGAGACACACACGTGCATGCATACATGACATGCACACACAGACACAAATGCATGCACACAGCCTCACGTGCACACACGCATGCACACACCACACACCCACATACACATACATGCATACACACAGTTTCACACACACATGCATGCACACAGCCTCACACACAGAGACACACCACACACACACTCACATCCTAGGGCTGTATCCACAGTGAAGCAAAGGACCTGGGCAGATATGCTGGCCACTCGGGGACCTTGGGCATTGTCCCCAGCCCTTGACAGAGGTGAAGCGGAGGGACAGTGGTACCTGTGCAAGCCTTTCCTCCATTTGCACATCTTTCTTCTCTGATGATGTTTTGGAGCAACATGGCTGTGGGGCCTGTGTCATGTATTCAAACGTGCTCAGCTTCTTGAACTCTGGAAAGGGGAGAGGAAGGGAAGGGCTGAGTCACCACCTGCAGCACTATGGCATCCACACATCTGCCTGGGCACCACTGGACGGCTACTCCAGAGCCCATCTGGCCCCAGGGCAGCCCCAGCCACTGGAGCTCAGCAAGGGCATGTGGCCCCTGCCCAGGGCATGGCTGCTGTGCCACCTCACAGGCACCCCGAGGCCAGGATGGGGTGGGGCGCAGTATGGCCCCTACTCTGCAGCAAGAGGAGTCTACACATTTCACCTGCGGGGTGGGACCTAGCCTCTGCCCTGTCACGCCCCCATCAGGCTGCGTGAAGCCCGCCAGTGGCCGTCTCTCCTGGGCCCACGCTCCCTATCCCCCATTCCACAGCCTCCTGAAGGAGGCAAGAGGGCAGCTCGGGAAGGACTGCTCTGTGTGAGTCTCCAGGTGGCCCAGCAGTGTGTCCCCATGTCCAGACACAGGTGGTGTGCACCTGGGTGGGGGGATACACGGAAGCTCCCGATGGGCTGACCGTATGCACAGGTGCTACCGCCACCCCCAGCACTATGCTAACAGCGTCCTGGGACCACACACTCGTGAGTGTAGAGTGCCCCCAGCTTGGTCTTTAATCAAGCTGTGACACTGGCTGTCCATCATGGGCAGAAGTACCCGGGTTATTAGAAGAAAATCTGAGACATACATTTACCAATAAAAGACAATATTAACAAAATGTGTTCTGTGCCTATTTCAGCCATGTGCTTCCATGGAGGGGCCAAACTTTTCATTTCTCTTTCCCTAAAAACCAACAAATATGAGAACAGCCGGTTCATAATTATTTCTGGAAAGTGAAAAGGACCACCCCCAGGGGCCTGTTTGCAGCTGAGGAGCAGATGGAGGGCCGCCCTGCGGGGCCTGCTTGCCCGGGCCGCGGCAGCTCAGGGCCGGGCGCCCAGCCCTCCCCCGGAGGCTTTCTGCAGGATTCTGTTCGCGCCCTGTCCTGGCTCATCCTTCCCGAGTAAGCCCGCCCGGCTTTTGTCAGTCTTGCACATCCCTCAGGACCTGCGTCACCATTTGAGCACATAAACTCACACTCGCTCACACTCAGTTAAAATGTTCGTTCTTCCATGAAACGACTACAATAAAACACAGGGGAAATGCTTCGGGACATGGGGCTGGGCAAAGCCTTTATAAAGAGGACCTCAGAAGCTCAGGCGACAAAAGCAAAAACAGACACATGGGATTAGATCCAACTAAAGAGCTTCTGCACAGCCAAGGAAACAGTCAACAGAGCGAAGAGACAGCCTGCAGAACGGGAAGAGACATTTGCAAACTGTGCCTCCAACAAGGGATTGATATCCAGAATATACAAGGGACTCAACAGCAGGAAAATGAATGATCTGATCGAAAAATGGTCAAAGGAGCTGAATAGATATTTCTCAAAAGAAGATGTACAAACAGCAAACAGGTATATAAAACATGCTCAGCATCACTAATCACCAGAGACATGCAAATCAAAACCACACTGAGATATCATCTCAGCCCAGTTGGACTGGCCAGTCCTGAAAAGACAATAACACATGCTGGAGAGGATGCAGAGAAAGAGGAAGCTCTATACACTGTTGGTGGGACTGGAAATTAGCAAAGCCACTGTGGAAAACTCTACAGAGGTTCCTCAGAAAACTAGAAATAGATTCACCAAACGACCAAGCAACCCCCCTGCTGGGGATTTATCCAAAGGAAAGGAAACCAGCATGTTGAAGGGCAGTCCCATGTTTATCGCAGCTCCGTCCACAATAGTGAGGATATGGAGTCAATCCAAGTCTCCATGAGCCGATGAGAGAATAAAGAAAATGTGGTACATGTGCCCAGTGGGACACTGCTCGGCCAGGAGAAAGAGTGAAGTTCTTCATTCACAGAAACGTGGATGAGCTTGGACAACATTACGTTAAACGAAGTAAGCCAGGCACGGAAAGGAATGCCACGTGTCCTCAGTCGTGTGGGAGCTAAGAAGTGTGATGGCACAGAAGGAGAGAGCGGAATGGGGTTGGGGTGGTACAGAGGTGGGTCAACAGATAAGCAAAAGTACAGGCAGACAGGAGGACTGACATCTGGTGTTCCGCAGCGCGGTAGGGTCACCATAATTAACAACGATGTACTGTACCGTTTCAATTAGCTAGAAGACAGGACTTGGACTGTTTCCAACACGAAGAAATCCTAGATGTTTGAGGTAATGAAAAAAGATCAGCGGTCCCCAGGGCTTCGGGGGAGGTGCTAGGGTCACCATAATTAACAACGATGTACTGTACCGTTTCAATTAGCTAGAAGACAGGACTTCGACTGTTTCCAACAGGAAGAAATCCTAGATGTTTGAGGTAATGAAAAAAGATCAGCGGTCCCCAGGGCTTCGGGGGAGGTGCAGCGCAGAGGACTCTGGTGGGCAGCAGCACTGTTCTGTATGGCACTGCCACAGTGAATGCGTGACATTATGCACTTGGCAGCACCCAGAGGACAGTGCTAAGAGGAGCCCTAATGTAAAGTGAGGTTAAGGATAATGTGTCCGTATTGGTTCAGTGGTCACAAATGTGCCGCACTGATGTCAACCACAGGAGACACGGGGCGGGGGACTCTCTGTGTCCCCCACCGTGGGGTCCTGCTGGCCCTTCGTCTCACTCAGCGTGTTTCCTCTTCCATCGCCGCGAACGTGGCGGTCCTCACGTCTCCGCTGCTGGCACCATCTGCATCCTTCCATCCGGGCAGCCATGGCTCTGGGCTCCTGAGTGGAGTTGGAGTCCCCAGGGCTGCTCAGCCAGGGGGCTTTCCTGGCCTGCCGTGTGACCACCCTGGCACGTGCACTATCACTTGAGGGGAGGCTGACGAGGAGCCCCTGTGGCATCCACCGAGACTCTGCAGCCCAGGGGCCACCGCTGCCCAGAGGTGGAAAGATGCTTGGTGGCCGACCCATCGGCGGAAACAACGTGTGCCAGGAGGAGGGAGACGCTGTTACTTCTTCCTGGGGTGGAGGAGTGCACCCTTCCTGTCCAGCGACACCGCTGAGCACCTGCCGCTCGCACTGCTGTTCCCCCCCAGCTGCGCGTGGTTCCTGGGGCACCATTCACTGAGCTCAGTGTTTCCCATCATTAGAATCTGTTTGATGCTTTTCTGCATCTGCCTGTTCTTTCTTCAGTGTCCTGCTCTTGCCTAGCAGATCCTACTCCTTTGTCCCCTTGAGCATTTCAGACTTCCCGGCTGTAAAATCTCTCATGTTTTTGCAGGTCCTGAATTCAGTGCCTGCCCAGGACACGTGTGAGCGTGTGAGGGGAAAACTCTGGCCACCCTGGAGCAGGGGCTCGGGTCAGGGAACATACGCAGGAACACGTGGAAGATGAGCAGGTGCCCGAGCAGCAGGAAGCTGGTGGTGGCCAGCATCAGCACAAACACCCAGACGCACAGGACCGCTGGGGTCTCCACCTTCACAGGGAACAAGGGGAGGAAGAGCAGCCAGGTGTCCTTATTCTTGACACCTGTGGACAAGGGGAGGGGCGCCGTTCACTCACCTCTGACCAGCACCTCTGATCGGGTGGACGTCACGGGACCGAGCTGCCGGGACAGGGACAGGGTCCGGGCGAGTACCCCACCTCACCTGAGTGCCTGTGCCCCTCCTGACTGTGCTGTGACCTACTCTGTGGATCGGGAGGGTGAGGCTNCCCAGCTGCGCGTGGTTCCTGGGGCACCATTCACTGAGCTCAGTGTTTCCCATCATTAGAATCTGTTTGATGCTTTTCTGCATCTGCCTGTTCTTTCTTCAGTGTCCTGCTCTTGCCTAGCAGATCCTACTCCTTTGTCCCCTTGAGCATTTCAGACTTCCCGGCTGTAAAATCTCTCATGTTTTTGCAGGTCCTGAATTCAGTGCCTGCCCAGGACACGTGTGAGCATGTGAGGGGAAAACTCTGGCCACCCTGGAGCAGGGGCTCGGGTCAGGGAACATACGCAGGAACACGTGGAAGATGAGCAGGTGCCCGAGCAGCAGGAAGCTGGTGGTGGCCAGCATCAGCACAAACACCCAGACGCACAGGACCGCTGGGGTCTCCACCTTCACAGGGAACAAGGGGAGGAAGAGCAGCCAGGTGTCCTTATTCTTGACACCTGTGGACAAGGGGAGGGGCGCCGTTCACTCACCTCTGACCAGCACCTCTGATCGGGTGGACGTCACGGGACCGAGCTGCCGGGACAGGGACAGGGTCCGGGCGAGTACCCCACCTCACCTGAGTGCCTGTGCCCCTCCTGACTGTGCTGTGACCTACTCTGTGGATCGGGAGGGTGAGGCTTGCAGAGGGTCACTGAGCACTCAGGCCACTGGCCGGCCCCCACCCGACCCTGACACCTGCCCCCCGGGGCCCTCTGAGCTCTACACCAGCCCCCCACATAGCACATGAAGGCTACAGCCCCATGTGTCGCATTTCTAGGATACAGCCCTCTATGGCCAACACTCAAAACCACACTGCTCCCCAAAATTAGGTGAGAAAAACATGGAGGGGTTGTGCTGGGCAGAGAAGCAGAGGATGGAATTCCAGCCTAAATGTTTTTGCTCTGCGCCATCCGAGAGGGTCTCTGTGTGCCACCCTGAAAGGCAAGTGCCATGATCCACCTCATGGGGCTGTGGCACGTCGCATGTAGGGCTGGGCCAGGCCGTGGGCAGCCACCCCCCATGTGAACCATTAACCAGTGACACAAAGAGATGCTCTGTTCAGGGACCTGGTGGTTATGAAGCCCTGTGGAATCTTCTGGAACAGCAAACCCAGGAAATCACCTCCATCCACAATCGGGGAAATTGGCGTGGCACCCACTGCAGTGTGGCGCAGACCAGCACAGCTCCGGGGAAGGGCCAGCGCTCACCTGCCCCGGCCACCCTGGCCGCCTCCTGCCCCCTCCCCACCCTCTCTTCACACCCCACAAGGGGGAGGGGACAGTACACAGGAGCTTCTTGAGCAAATGACTTGTTACAAAAGAAGAGAGAATGACAGCTAGTCTAGCTGGGGTGAGGTGACATCTCAATGTGGTTTTGATTTGCATTTCCCTGATGATTAGTGGTGTTGAGCGTTTTTTTGAAGTACCTGTCAGCCATTTGAATGTCTTCCTTCAAAAATGCGTATTCAGCTCCTTTGCCCATTTTTTAATTGGGTCATTTGGTTTTTTTACTGCATAGTTATTTGAGTCCCTCGTCTATTCTGGATATCAGCCCCTTGTCGGCTGTACCGTTTGCAAACATCTCCTCCTATACCGTAGGCTGTCTTTCCGCTCTGTCGATTGTTTCCTGCCGTGCGGATGCTTTTCAGTTTGATGCCGTCCCTTTCATTGATTTTTTCTTTTGCTGCTTATGCTTTTGGGCTCATGTTCATAGTCTGTGACCAGTCCTACTTGTGGAAGCGTTTCCCCTGTTTTCTGTCAGTAGTTTTATAGTTTAGGCATACTGAGAGTATTGATCTGATCATCACATCTTGGATACAGATGGTGACAGTCAGCTTTGTACCCCATTAATATGCATAACCAATGAAAAAAAAGAGAGAAGAGAGAAATGCATAGAAAGCTTCGTTGTGGCCCTTGGGCTTGTTGGGGTCAGGGGCTTGCCAGGGGAGAGCTGTTTCTGAGAAGTCCTGGGTGGGGGCTGCAGTCAAACTTGGTGGTGCAGGGAGGAGTGGACGGCCCTGCCCATGGACCTTGCAAGCTCATCCTTGGAAGAACGTTCTGCCATGAACGGGGTGGCCCCAGTGACCCTGAGGGGGAGGCCCTGAGCATGCGGTGGAGATGAAGGAACTGCTTCCCCTCCACTGTTCCCTGTCAGTGTCCCTGGGCTGCTGGACACATCACCATGAGGCATGGTCCCTCCACACAGACATCTGCTGTCTCACGTCAGCAGCAGCAGTCCACATCACGGTGTGGCAGGGCCACGCTCCCTCCAGAGGCTCCAGGGGAGGATCCTTCCTGCCTCTTCCAGCTCCCAGTGGCCTCAGATGTCCCTGGGCTTGTGGCCGCATCACTCCAGCCTCTGCCTCCATGGCCACGTGGCTTCTGCTCTATATCTGTGTCTCCTCTTGTTTTTCATAAGGACATTGTCACTGGATTTGGGCCACCCAGATAATCCACGATGGTTCCTTCATCTCACGATCCCTAATCACATCTGCAAAGACCTTTTTCCAAATAAGATGACAGCCACAGGTGCCAATGAGAACATGGATGTCTTTGGAAGCCACGGTCAGCCACCACGTCTGTGCCCAAGGCCCAGACTCCTGGACCCACTCAGCAGAGCACTTCACCGGCCGCCCATGGAGCCTGCAGCCCCGCATCCCCCAGACGACTGGCACCCTGCTCTCCCCGTCCCCACACGGCCTCCCACAGGGACCAGCACGACCGGGCACTGCAGGGCTGACTGCAGCGGGGACAGAGAGGCCAGGAGTGGATCCCAGTCTCTCGTGCTCGCCACCACCTGGAAACACGACCTCAGAGCGGCCACAGCCAGCGCCTCCACGCCCAGGCTTGCCTCCTGGGCATGTGGGAGGCTGCGGGGCCGAGGCGCAGCCACTGGGCTGCCAGGCACCACCCGCAGGAGCGTAGAACCTCTCCCCGTTCTGGCCTCTCCCTGCCTACGCCCCGGGCTCAGCTGGGCTGACCGCCTCCCAGACTCAAGCCTTTCACCCAAAAAGATGGTGCGAGGGGAGGCCAGAGCTGACTGAACACGCCAGTGGCCCCAAGCAGAAGCGCCTCGGGGGAACGGCGGGCACGTACTTTTATACGCGGGGTCCGTGCGGAGCCTGCTGGGGTCCACGAGGTACTGGGTGAGGACGTACACCAGGATGACCATCACGCAGAGCAGGCCGGCGAAGGCCGAGGCCACGGAGCCAAAGAAGTACCTGAGAGGAGAAGCAGAGAGAGGCTGGGGACATGCACCCCCGGGCCTGCAGCAGAGGCACAGGGCAGGGCGCGGGCGTCCTGCCAGCAGAGGCAGCCTGGCTGCTGACCCGCCGTCTCCTCGGAGCCCGGCCCGGGTCACGTCCCCTGGCGCGGGCCTCCTTTCTCTGCCTTCTGTCCTACGGCCATTTGTTTTCACATTCCCTAGGCAGACGTCGCTGACCACCTGCCGTGTCACGCTGCCTTGCAATCTGTAAAGTGCTTCTTGCAAACGTGATCTAATCCCCACACGGAGGCCGTGGGCAAGGGGAACCATCCTCTTCTCACAAGCAGGGGACGGAGGCTCCACTGGCCAAGCCACCCCAGCCGGCTGAGCAGGGCAGCACAGGATTCAAGCCGCATCCCTGGGCTCCACGGCTCACAGGTCCCCCCTGCCTTGCCCGACTTCCACCTGGTTCAGACAAGGGCTCCCTCCCAGACACAAGAGCACACGCTGGGCTGAGCTCTGGTGCTAGCATCACAGAAAATGAGTCCCTGAGGGGATCTTAGTTGGGGTCCCTTTGAAAGGAAGCATGAGCCGTGTGTGAACGTGTGTGGTAGGTGCTGCTCAGCGTCTTACGTTCAAGGGCACTGAAGCCAGGGGAGGTGAGGGCCACAGTAGCACCATGCCACCCGGGAGGCTGTGGGGCTCCGGACCGTCTATCTCTGCACCCGGAGGGAGCTCAGGCCCAAGGAAGCCACTAAAAAGCCTGAGCACGCTGTATCTGCAGATGTCACACGTGCACACTTGTGGCAGAAATGATGTCACGTGCTTTAGGTATTAGACCAAAATCATTCCTGCATCCTGGTCTTTGCCCCAAACATACAGAGAATGATCCATCCATCCCAGAAAAAAAAAAAAATTCTGCATAGCAATTCTCGGAATGGACTTGAATACCTTCCTTAGTCTTTCTGCTATTATATTTAATTTAAATACTTCTCTTACATTTCACAATGTATTTTGTTCACCTAAAGCTTAGTTGATTCCATGGATTTTTTAGAACTTCTTGAAATTCCTTTACACATATCTTTGGGAAGAGGATTCAAATGTGTGTCATGCTGTCTTAGAAGGAGGGGCTGTTGGTGCCACTGTGTCCAGTCCCTCCGTCAACCCTCTTGAGGCATCTTCTGGAGAATCCACACAGGACAGGGTTACGGGATGGCTCCTCGGCAGGAAACGCTGTCTGACGGGGCTGAAGGGAGTCAACCCCTGGCCAGGCCTCCCTGCCGCACTGACAGCCCTGTCAGCGTCCGTGCTCCTGCCGTCTGACTCCCTCGTGTGTGAGTGCCAACCCTCGCAGTCTGACCCAGGGGTGGCCCCACAGTGCGGAGACATGGTGTGGCCTTCCGCACCTGGCTCTGGTCTCCTGGGAAGCTACCCCCTCCAGGCGGAGGTGCCACACCCCACCCCAAACCTCTCCTGGGCCTGAGCCCACGGTGGGGTGGGGTGTAAAGACACTTCATCTCCGACCTGTGTCTGGATAGGACTCCCTTCTTTGCCCAGTAGGAAAGGCAGGAGACCACGAGGCAGAGACCAGAGCCCACCGGAGCCGCAGGACGTTCATGCTTGCCTCAGATGTCCACTAACTCAGCTCCACGCACCTCGCTCTCTCCAGCTTCTCATCCCCCCAAACCTCTCCTGGGCCTGAGCCCACGGTGGGGTGGGGTGTAAAGACACTTCATCTCCGTCCTGTGTCTGGATAGGACTCCCTTCTTTGCCCAGTAGGAAAGGCAGGAGACCACGAGGCAGAGACCAGAGCCCACCAGAGCCGCAGGACGTTCATGCTTGCCTCAGATGTCCACTAACTCAGCTCCACGCACCTCGCTCTCTCCAGCTTCTCATCTGCCACCAGCATATTCGACCTCTCTCTTGGGGGCTGTTACACACTTTGTCAACATCTGGGGCCAGATTATATTCTAGATACTGTTGAGGTCTCTTGCTTTTTGGAGGAAAGGACAGAAGGGAACCTGACACAGACACAGGGCTGGCTGCCACCCAGCGTGAGTGGAGGATGCTCGTGTCCTGACCTACCTTTCCCACACAGAGACGGTGTGGCCCCACGCTCACAGCACCTGCGCAGTGCCCCTTCCATCTCTGGAGGAAGGCAGCCTCTCTCCTATGCCCCTTGGAGCCTGGTCCCCTTCCCCTCATGAGCAGGGCCACACGCCCCCGAGGCTCCCCCAACAACACCTTCCAAAGAGGCATGTGACGGGCAGAGGAGCCAGAGTCTGCTGTGATGAGCTGGCTCGAGGCATCTAGGAGGGAGTGAAGCCCTTCGCCAGCATGAGTGAGGGGTCCAGCCTGCCGCTGACCAGCTGGGCTGCTCTTCTCTAGGAGAGGAGGTGGGACAGCGTCTCCTAGGTCCCTTCCATTCCCACAAGTCTGATTTGATGATTCTGATAAATAGGCCCTTGGGTTCACCCCTGCAGTCGTGCAGTCACCCGTTTGCTCTTCCTATGTCTTGTTTGCTTAGTGACTCTGGTTGCACTGCACATGTTTTCTGGAGAATGGTGACTCTCCGCAGCACATATCACAATGCACATGTTGCGAGGCGGCCTTCGCCTGTGTACCGTGCGAGGGCCAGCTCCCACGCACCAGCCAGCCCTTCTCTTTCAAGTCGGGCATGGAATAGCAGGGGGAGCGCGTGCTGCTTTATTCCTGGAGATACTCACGGCCTGCACAACCTCGGGTCAGGACACGGGGCCCCGAGTGCCCCATGAACCCCCTACCCCATGCTTCGTCTGTGGGCCACTCACTCCCACGCTCCATGGCCTGGCCCTGGTGCTCTTGGAGTTGAAGGCCTTGGTGTAGAGAAGACAGCTGGGCCCTGGACAGTGGACTCCCAAGGCCTCAGCCAGCCTGTGACCCACGGACCAGGGCCGCTCCTCGCCATCCATAATGGGGTCTCCAGCAACTGACTTGGTGAGGACCCACCACGTCCAGGGATGGTGCCCCCAAACACAGTTCAGAACCAGACAAGGAGACGAGAGGGACGTGGGCACCGAGCTCCCCGCTGCTGGGGACAGGGTGTGGCCCCAGGAGGACCCCACCCCCCCCCGTACCGGTAGTTCCTGCTCCCCACGCAGTTGTTGAGCCACTTGCAGTGGTGGTCGAAGCCACTCACGCACTTGTTGCAGGCGCTGCAGTGCTTGGCCTTTGCGCTCCTGGAGGGAGAAGCAGCCGGGGCGGCCGGTCAGCCTTTGTGCGGCCGGGCAGGCCTGGGCACCGGCCCCTCGCCGCAGGAAGTGGGTGTCTGGCAAGGAGCGGGAGGCTGAAGCCTCCACCTGGGGCCAGGGACGACAGTGGAGGCCTGTTGCAGGGCAGAGCAGGGCGGCTCTGGGAGCAGCCATGGCTGCAGTCCCCTTCTCTGCCCTGCTGGGCCCAGGGCTCCTCCTGGAAACCCCTGGAAAGACAGCACTCTCCTGCCCTGGACTGCAGGGGAGGGAGCTGTGCACACGAGAGCCACTCAGAATGAGCCCCCGGACCTTCCCAAGGAAGTCAGTCACCTGCAGGGACACACACACAGCCCTCTGGCCAAGCCTCAGCCCTGGCTCCGTCAGCAGAGGCAGCACCAGCACCCACTCCACAGTGGCTGTGGGGACGAAAACGCTCCGTCCATGGCACGAGGCAAGTACGGGGCTGCCACGCTCCCTCAGCAAGGGCCCCACCCCACGGGGCCCCGTAGGGTGGGGGGCACTCACACAGTGACCTTGCACACGTGACAATACTGGTTCTGAATCACGTGTGCGTGTTTGGATCGGTCAAGAGTCGGCAGGGGATCAGAATAGTTCTTCTTGAATCGCACGTTGGCCTCAGCTGGATCGATGGAAACTGTGATCAGGTGGACCGTGGCATAGAAAGCGTGGAGCCCGCCAGTCAGCTGGGCAGGTCAAGGAAAACAAAGCCCTGGCCCGGCCCATAACACTCCGCCTTGCCACAGAGTCAGCCCAGGGCATGGCCCTGCCGCAAGAGGGTCCCGCAGGAACTGTGCAGCAGCGACACACAGCAAGCCTGAGCGTGAAGCTGGTTCTGACAAAACCCGATGCAGGCTGACTGCGGTCCCCAGCAGGGCGTGACCCGTTGTAAACCGTGTTCCAGGAACAAGCATGGGCCCAAAGCCGTGGGGGTTCACAGAGATGACCAGGGTAGGTGGGCAGGCAAGAGTGAGCTGCTGGGCGTCATGAGGGTCAGACCAGGGAGTTGGAGCCCAGGCCAGGGCAGGCAGGCATGTGGCCAGGCAGAGGTGGACAGTGGGGGTGGGGAGATGGCTCTGTACCAGCCAGCCTGGGGGGCTCAAATAGGGGGCTGGACTGATCAGACCTCTTCAGTCCGCAGGAACTGTGCAGCAGCGACACACAGCAAGCCTGAGCGTGAAGCTGGTTCTGACAAAACCCGATGCAGGCTGACTGCGGTCCCCAGCAGGGCGTGACCCGTTGTAAACCGTGTTCCAGGAACAAGCATGGGCCCAAAGCCGTGGGGGTTCACAGAGATGACCAGGGTAGGTGGGCAGGCAAGAGTGAGCTGCTGGGCGTCATGAGGGTCAGACCAGGGAGTTGGAGCCCAGGCCAGGGCAGGCAGGCATGTGGCCAGGCAGAGGTGGACAGTGGGGGTGGGGAGATGGCTGTGTACCAGCCAGCCTGGGGGGCTCAAATAGGGGGCTGGACTGATCAGACCTCTTCAGTGCTGCATGAGGAACATGGGTGACAGGTGCAAGGCCATTCTCATGGCCGCTGGACCGGGGGTGAGGCCTGCACTGCCCCACTCTGCTGTGCAGTAGACTGAGACTGTGGTTCCCATCAAGGGTGCAGGTGAGCAGGGCCGGGCGGTCAGAGGGGCCAGGCGGTCAGAGGGGCCGGGAGGTCAGTGGGGCCGGGCGGTCAGAGGGGCTGGGCACAGGGCTTACTGTCACAGCTGGTGACATTAACATGACTGAAAGCACATCCCTGGCACGCTGGTCCCTGAGGACCCCTCCCTCCAGGCTAAGCCTCACTGTTTGTGTGGTTACCAAAGCAACGAGTTCCGGAGCCCTAGGACACTGGCGGTGACATCTGAGGACAAAAGACGGGCAGGAAGGTGCACCGCGGCCCAGGTGCGGGTCCTTCCTCTGCAGAACTGCAGCAGAATTACCCTAGTTGGAAACTGGCGGGGGGGGGGCAGTGCTGCTGCCTGAAAGTACCTGAAGGGAACCGTCTGGGACAGCATAGCCCACCCTCAGGAACCCTGGGCCTCAAAGTGGACAGGCCCAGATTCTCGCAAGGCTGGCCCTGCCAGGCAAACCTGCAGAGCCACCCATAGCCATCTCCTCGACCTTCCCCAGCCCATGGGTGCTGCGATTCCAGGGCAGAATCTCCACCTGGACACCTCTGGGACACAGACTATGTAGGAGAGGAGAGTCCAAGCACGTCCTCCCCGTGGGCTGCACTGGTGCCCTGCTTGTCCATAAACACGCTCTGGGAAGTGGACTCAGCGCTCCGCACACAGACTTGGGTTGTCCTCTCATGACATCCATGTCACCCATGGCATGAATGCTGCTGGTGACCTTAAGTCTGCTACATTTTGCCCAAAGTGACCTAGCCAGCCACTCCCCCATCACATGCTGGGGTAGCCGTTCCTGAGTGTGGGTGAGCCTGGAGTGTGAGTGACCCAGAGCCCCGCGTCCTCGGTTTTCTCTGCTCTTACTTCACACTTAGCTGCACCTCAACAGTGCCTCAGGTTCATGTAAATAACACAAGGTGAAAGAAACCCTAAGTGTCTCACTTTCATTACCCAAGCCGCCTGCCCTCTGGAAGTTTCGGTCTCAGAGCTGCTATGAGAACTGCAGCTGACACTGGAACATTCCCTAGCAACAATCTGTGTTTAGTAAATAAACAGCGAGTGTGCGCCAGCCCAGGACACCCGCCCTTCGCCCTTCCTAGCACTGTTAACCTTTCCCCTGTCCTGTTTTGCAGGCAGGAAAGAGGAGGAGGAGAGAGAGCCCACGGCTCACGTTCCGAGTGCCCTGTACAGTCACGTCTTATCGATCCCTTTGGGGCAAAACCTGCGACGAACTCGCTAGGTTCAAAGCTGCAGCTCGCTGCTCAAAGTGGAGGTTCACGGATGCTCGCTACACCAAGGGCCACACGGCTGAGCTATGGTCAGAGGACAAGGAAGAACAGCCCGTACGTAAAAAGCCACACGTTAGGGTTGAATTGTGCCCCCAAAGTATGTTCAAGTCCTAAGCCCCAGCACATGTGAGTGTGGCCTTACTTGGAAATAGGGTCTTTGCAGGTGATCAAGTTGAGGTGAGGTCGTGAGGGTGAGCTCTAATCCACTGTGTCTGGGGTCCTCGTAAGAAGAGGAGATTAAGACCCAGACACAGAGGTACGACCGTGTGAGGACACAGGGAGAAGAGGCCTGGAACAGTCCTCCTCCAGCACTTCAGAGGGAGTGTGGCCCTGCCAACACCTGGAAGGACTTCTGTCCCCAAAACTGTGAGAAAGTAAAGTTCTGTTGTTTGAGGCACCCAGTTTGCAGTGTTTTGTTACAGCAGCCACAGGAGAGTCACACACCATGGTCCAGAAAGAGTGAGGGAGTGAGGGACGAGGACAGGAGCAGAGGGTGGGTGGGCCTCCTTTACAGAGTGTGGGGCAGCAGCACAGGTGGAGCAGCAGAATCGCAGGACCCCCACTGTACAGGCCCCAGCATAACTGTGATCCGCACAAGGACTGCCAACAGAAGACAGCTCACCCACACTGAGTGTGGGGCAGCAGCACAGGTGGAGCAGCAGAATCGCAGGACCCCCACTGTACAGGCCCCGGCATAACTGTGATCCGCACAAGGACTGCCAACAGAAGACAGCTCACCCACACGGCCCAGGGTCTCCCTGAGCATTGCTCCTAACTGTGCGGGGCAGGGACCCAGCCCCCAACCTGAGGAACAGCCGCACCCTCATGTCCTGCGCAGTGGGACGTGTTCTTGTTGAGACAGAGCCACAGAGTGGAGTGGGATGCGGCCTGGATGCTTCAAAGATGCCGCAGTCGAGGAAGAACCAGCAGCTGCCCACAGAAGGCAGGTGGGCATTGTGCCTGACTGAAGAGACCAGGCGGCCCCGTCACGGGCACAAAGCCTGGACCCTGGCTGGATTCTGGGGTTTAAAAACCCCGTAAAGGACATTTTGAGGACTGTTGGAGAATTCTAAGATGAACTGCACAGGCGATTGCAGAATTACTGTCCATTTTCTCACCTGTGATAAGGCACAGGTTACAACAGTATGGGTGCCCATGTCTGGGGCAGCGTGTGCTGAAGCAGGGAGATGTGCCACACGGGGCCCGTGAGTGTGGCTTCTGCCTCACCATGGGCAGGAGGCCCGGAGGTGATGCGGCTACACCAAAGGGCACGTAGAGACCAACGGTAGTGCTCACCACCTCTCGGGACCAGCACTCACAGTCCTGGCCAGCCACCTGCAAACAGGCTGATGTTGCTAGAGGGACCACGCAAGAGAGCACCCAGGATGAGCGTATGTCACCATGAGTGTGTCTTATGAGAAACACACCCTTGGACTCCTGGCAAGGCTTTCTGTGTGGTGCAGCTGCACTGGGCACCCCAGAATCCAGAGACTAAACCCCAAGTCGCTGGGGAGACATCCTTTAGTCTCTAAGCCAGAAGGGGTAGTTGAGTGAGGGGCAGAAAGCCTTTTAGTGTGTGTGTGTGTGTGCATGTGGTGGGGCATGTGTGTCTGTGCCCACCTGCATGTGCACTTGCAGAAAACCCCATTTATTCATTTCTGGAGAAAGACAGTTTTATGCTTTCAAGCAAATGTTCTAACAGGGGTTGAGGAAAGGAGCACCCCAGCCACGCCCCCCATCCTAAGCAGGGGTCTGAGATGAGGCCAGGTCTGTTAGCACCAGGAGCCACTCGAAGCTGCACTTGGCAACAGGACAGCGTGCGGCCAATTTGCTGCCACCTGAGCAGTCTGGGGAGGGGCTGGTGGCAGAAGGCTCCCTGTAGATGGTTGTCACCTGATTGTGATCCTCAAATTCATAGACCTGCTCTGCCCCCATAACCCTTGTAAATGGGAGAATGGGCCTGTGAGCCCCAAAGCCCTCAGGACAAGATAAGGGTCTGAGACATGTGGCCGGGCTCCAGGCAGCCCAGGAGCTTCCAGACTTTCTCCTGCATGAAGAGCTGATCCCTGGTCTTCCAGGCACTGGTCACGGGGCAGGTGTCAGAAAGAGCCTTCGGGCTTCTGGGCCACTGCCACCTTCTCAGGTTTGGCCTGTAGGAAGCCCTGGTTGAGCAGGCTGTTGTCCCCTCTGATAGGATCTTGAAGGGATATTTGTCGGTAAGGACGGAGACTTGGGCGGTGGAGACACCATCACCTTCACATCCCTGTCCATGATATCAAGAGCCAGGGACTTGTGGACTTTCTCGATGGAGCTCCGCTGCAGCCCAGTCTTTCTCCTCTGCTTCTTGGGTCTCAAGTCATCCTCCATGATGAGTTCGGGGCTGGCTTCGAAGCACAGCACGTCCTTCAAGTCCTCCTCTAGGTGCGGATTCTGGGGAAGGGGATGCAGTGGTCTGTACTTCTCCAAGGTGTTCTTGAACGGGGTTGGCATGTGGGGAGTGGGGTCCATGGAGTACTTCTGATCTGGGGCTACAAACGCAGCATGTCCCTGCTGCAGCGGCGCGGTGACCACCACCTTCTGGCTGCACACTGGGGTGGATGTCAGCAGGGGAATCTCCAGCTCCAGTGTGTTCTGTTTGTTCCAGAATTTCAGGAACTGGGAGGCTGAGAAGGGCAGGGTCTCGATAGGTGTGCTCTTGGGGGTTAGGCTGTTGTAGGAGTCCAGGAAGGACAGGCTGGTGCTGTCCTCTGTGATGGGGACAGAACCACATGCCTCTTCTTCTGTCTCTTGAGCACTGAGGGTGGCGTGCCAATGCCTGAGCCCCTGACTTCAGTGCTGGGGGAGATAGGGATCAGCTCGCACCAGCTGCTCCAGCTCAGATCTGAGATGGTGTGGCTGTCCAGGCAGTACTTGGTCACACTGGGCACGGGGGTAGCTGGCTGCTGGGTTGGCAGTTCCTGCAGCTGATGTGATAATTGGGGCTGCACGGGGCTACTGCTGATGCTGCCTTCTGTGGATGGATCCTCAGGGAGGTCAAATTTACTCAGGTCACAGCAAGTATCAGGGTCTGATGCGATCAAGTCCAGGGCTTCAGAGAGGCTGGACCCCACAGCGTGGATGAGGAGGTTTGCCGCCTCCACCACCCACTTGTAGGGCAGGCAAGATTCAAGGGGCGATCCCTCCTGGTCTTCATGCTTAGGCAATTCCTCCAAGGGCTCTGGTGTTCGACCTCCATCCATCTCTGCAGGGACAGGCTCCTGCTCCTTAGAGGTGGTGGCTGCCATGGGCTCCTCCTGCGGCTTTCCTCTTCACGGCCAGGGGATGCCAGAGACCAGTTGGTCATGAGACCTCCCTGGCCTTCTGCAGGCTGGGCACTCTGTCAGCCATCCTTGTCCTCAAGCCCCAGTAGCAAGTACACAGGAGGCCTGCAGCTTTGGACTTGCTCAGGAAGCCTCCTGCGTCCACTTTCGTTTTGAAGGTGAAGTTCCAGCAGATCTTCACAGCATGGTCCATCCTCCCGGCAGCACCTTGGCGATCTCACAGGTCACCCAGCCCCTTGCGGGCCTCGCAGATGATGCGGTCCTCCTCCTCGGTCCAGCAGGACTTCATCTCGGGGTCGAGGTGGCTGTGCCAGCACTCGTGGCACGGCTTCCCTCACCAGTCTTTCTGGTGCCCCCTGCTTCGTGCCGGTCTTCTTGACCAGCTCAGTGACTTTCTGGTCTTCCTCTTTGGTCCCTGGATCCTCAATAAGGTCTGGATTCAAAACTCTCAGCCACCGATACTGGCATTGGTGGTCAGTGTGGTTAGGAAAGTAGCGGGCCAGGAACGTCCAGTCTTGCCATCGTCCAACCCGCCTCACCAGGGCCCCCGGCTGTTCGTCCTCCTCATGGGTCCATTTGACCTTGCACTTGCTATCCTCTGCTCCGGCACATTTGAATCTGTGTCCTGCTAGTGCAGCTTGTCCAGCTCCTCACCACATGTCCACTGAGACATCTCCCCAGCCCAGCCACACCGCACTTGCCCATTTGCCAGCTCAGGCCAGAGGGCCCCCGGCTGTTCGTCCTCCTCATGGGTCCATTTGACCTTGCACTTGCTATCCTCTGCTCTGGCACATTTGAATCTGTGTCCTGCTAGTGCAGCTTGTCCAGCTCCTCATCACATGTCCACTGAGACATCTCCCCAGCCCAGCCACACCGCACTTGCCCATTTGCCAGCTCAGGCCAGAATGGGAGCTGGGCCGGGGTCAGGACACAGGGCACGGGCTGCATTCCAAGCCATCAGTGTGTCTGCAGGCCCTGCACTCACTCGCAGGAACTGTGGCCAGTGCCAGCATGCACAGAAGTCTTACAGAAAAATCTACAGCTTTAAATAGTTATATTAAAAAGAAAAAAATGTCTGAAATCGGTGACCTAAGTTTGTACCTTAAAACGGTAGAAAATGAAGGAAAAGTAAAGCTGGAGTTAGTTGAGGGAGATGGTGGTAAACATAAAAGTAGGAATTCTTAAAAATTAGAAATATAACAGGCAAACAATAGGAAAAATAAATTCAAAAGTTGATTCTGTGTAATATCAATAAATATAATAAACTCTAGGAAGATGAGTGAAGAAAAGAGAGGGAAGTACAAGGCACCAGTCTGGTGACGGAGGAGGAAGGCGCATCACTACAGACCCTACACACGCTAAAGGGACAATGGGAAATACTGTAAACAATTTCTCTCCAAGAAATTGGACAATTTAGATGAAATACTTAAATTTCTTGAAAAATGCAACTTGACAAAACGAACACAAGACAAAACAAAAGAGCTGAATTCCCCTTCATGAAAGGAATTGAATTCGTTATCAAAACCTTCCCACAAAGCAATCTCTAGTTCTGTGAGGAAGAAAACCAGCCAGACCCAGACTGAGGGACATTCTGTGGGCAAATGCCCTGGTGTCTCTGACCAATCAAAGGTGTGAGGAACAAAGCAATGGGGAAAGGAGGACTTCAGGGCACAGCAACCACATGCCACGCAGGAGTCTCGTGTGGACCCGACGTGTCCCAGCATCTGTAGGAAAACTTCTCTGGAACACAGGGAAATATGGGGAAAGGAGGACTTCAGGGCACAGCAACCACATGCCACGCAGGAGTCTCGTGTGGACCCTGACGTGTCCCAGCATCTGTAGGAAAACTTCTCTGGAACACAGGGAAATGGCAATATGGATACTAAGGAATCCGTGGCATTAAGAAATCACTGTATATTTTCAAATTAAATGGCGGCATGGTGGCTGTGAAAATGAAAGCTCTTGTCAGAGGCAAACTAGAGCACTTGTACAGATAAAATTTCATGTCCGGGGACTCCACAGTTACTCCAGCGTACATGTGTGTGAGAGATGAAGCAAGAAGGGCAGGACTGCAATTGCTGAAACTGGGTGATGGCACTTGGGGCCACATTTTGAAAGCTGAAAGACACTGCAGTAACAAGTACAAAGAAGAATGACATCTGCCTTGCAGGTTGCTGAGGCTCCGAGAGACAGCGTGGCTCCTGCCGAGGCAGCCCCTGCTCACTCCTGCCTCTGCCACGTCCCTGCCTGTGCTACGTGCTTACACGCACCTGGTCTCCATACTCAGCAGAGACCTGCAAGGGTCCTGCAGCCTAAGCAAAGAACCATGCGGTGCAGACTGTCTCCTCCCCGAGAGGCTCAGTGAGGAGTAAAACATCCTCCTTTCAGAAATACGACTCCAGTGCCCTTGGGAACCCAGTGCAGGCCCACTTTGCACCAGATCACCTCATCCTCTCACTCTAGTGTCGCAGGGACAGACCCTCAGGGGCCTGGGGTTTCCCGACCCCATGCGGTGGTCAGCTGGGTATGCCACGGAGCCCACAGGCCACCCTGACGTACGACACTGGGGATCAAAGCAGACGTGGCACCTTCCACAGCACCTCTGGGCACAGCCTCCTAACTGGCCAGTTGTGACTTACCCGTGACTACGGCCCTCCCAGGAGCAGAGCAAACGGGAAATCTCCACATCGCCATAAGCCAGCGCTGCAAAGCCCTGCCGCATCTGGGAACAGGATTCCACAGTACACATTTGACAGAGGCCTGGGGTGGGCAAAAACTAGCTGTACACTGTAAAATCTTGAGTATTTTTTAAAAGTCCTCTCTTTTAAAACTTGCTATTCTTTGCAGGACAATACCAATTGGCCCCTTGTGTGTTGGAAAATGTGAAGTGGTGGAGGTCTGCGCTCCTCCAGCCTCCTCTGCCCACGACTCCCACCCTGCCCCTCTCATCGCAGACTCTCTCCTTGCACAACAGCAGGTGCCTGAGGAGCTCCAGGGAGGGACAGGCCCAACACGTGCCAGCGTCAGCCCTTCTCACAAGACGCTGAGCCGTGAGCTGCAGACAACCAACAGCCGGTGTTAGGACCAGCCACAGGAGCAGACGGAGAGGGTCTGGCCCAGGACAGGTGGCTAGAGGTACCCGGCGGGGACAGAGCACACTGGGCAGCATGCTGTGGACCTGGAACCAGCTCTGCTCTAACAGTCCTTCAGAAGCCACCTTTCCACTTCAGAAAATAGGCAGGTCCATGGAACCACCCCCACAAGTAAAAAGGATACAGTGTAGGCAATATATTTCCACTCGTGTGGCAAAAGGGGAATGAAGACCCCAAACATGGTGAAGGACATGATCAGGAAGGTGATCCAGGCCACCATCTGGAAGAAATGCAGCGGCAGAGACCAGCCATTCACTCTGGAGATGCGTGGTGGCAGAGGCTTCTTCACAGTGGCTCTGGCTTCCCAGACGACCTGACTCTGGCTCCTGCCACAGATGTCCATCTGCAAGACAGGGAAAGGGGCACAGAGAGCTGTCACTCACCATTGTTGGGGCCCCACCCAGCACTGGGACTGACAGCCAATGTCCCCTGCATCGCCCAGGACCACTTCTGTGGTTGAGCTGGCAGGGCTGGGGCTGGAGCAGGCAGAGGGCCCCTCACAGGG